CCATTAGAAAAGTTATGGGGGGTGGGGGGAGGAGGGGAATTTTTGAGCCGCAGAAATTTTATTTCGTTATCAGATTCCTTGCATGACTTTTTTTTTTTAGGCCGTAGCATGAATATTTTTTAGAGTTAATTGGCGTGCATGAATTTTTTTTCATTACTTTTCCCTTGCGCGAATAATTTTTTTGTACTTCGCCCGCCCCCCACCCCATAACTTTTCTAATGGTCCGTCCCTTACCCTGACTGGATTATTGAGACTCTGGACTATGGACCGCCTGGACGACACATGTTAGCCTGCGAGCAAGCTCTCCTCCTTGGGCGAGCAAAGCGAGTCTCGCGTGAACGCGCGAGCGAGAGGGCGAGGCCCCTGGCTCGCGCGTTCTCGCGTGGCTCGCTTCGCTCGCCTAAATAGGAGAGCTTACTCGCAGGCTAGACACATGTGAGCGTATTTTCAATTATGCGATGGGATTACTAGTGCATTGAGGTAAGATAAGCACATAATTACAAAACAGGGTATCTCTATTTCATATTTATTCTTTCGAGTGGCTCGGCGGTTCGCAGGGGACTTGAAAACGAAATATATAAAATATCAGCAAGTCTACAGCAACAAACCAATGAGTACTGTGGTGCCGGATCTCCCAGTTGTAGACCTGGATCAGTACAATTAAACTTGTAGGAAAATATGAAACGGCAAACTGATCCTTAAGGCAAGGCGATGAAGACAGTAAAAAAAATAAAACAAAAAAATATGTATTTAAACAAAGTGTTCTTTATTTCGGTTTGAAAACAAACCTTCTCAAGTGGCTCCGCGGCTCGCGAGTCCTTAACCGCTAAAACATACCTAGCTTGTTTCTTGTTTTTCACTCTACTGTCTGAACGCCTCGGACAGATGGCTAAAATTGAACGGATACTTCATTCACACGGAATCGAACCTTATTTTCGCACTGTTCACACGGAACACGACGAACCAGGTTGAACTTTAACTTTTGTCAGTAGTTTAACCCCAGACGTAGTTAATCGGTAAAAATCGTTATCGGAAATCAATCGATATCATTGACATTAATCGATTTAATCCGCCGATTAATATCGATTGATATGGGAAATCGATAGACATCGAAGTCACCGCAAAAATAATTTATCGACTATTATGGATTACCAAAATCGATAACAATCGATAGGAATCAAAAGTAATCGATAACAAGGAATAATCTTGAAGTGAATATTCTGAACATGA